CTCCAAGACCATCTTATTTGAAGGATGCTTTGATCTTTCTGTTCTTCAGCGGCTGAGCTGGGCGCCAGTTGTCCACCATATGTTCCTCAGGTTCCCCCTCTGCGTTGAAGCTCAGCTTACGGAACTGGGACATCTAAAGACAGGATGAAATTGAAAACAAAAAAACATTAGTGTCACAATAATACATACTTAAGTGGCAATGTTTTGTCTTTAAATGATGCCTCCAAAGCCCGGCACTGGTGGCACATGCCTTTAATTCCAGCTTGAAGACGTAGTCAGGGCTCTGGGTTCAAGTCCAGCCTGATCTAACACACACACACACACACACACACACACACACACACACACACACACACACACACACACACACACACCGAAAAAAAAAAAAAAAACATGGTTGCAGCCTCCTATATCCTCAGTGGCATGAATCTCAAATAGTTATATATTGCATGTGGATTGAGTGTGGAAGAATGCGTTCATGAAACATTTATGTAGACTACACAAAGCCACTTGGGTCTTTCTTTAATAAAATTTTTTGTGAGCTTGCTTTTCTTGTTTTCCTTTTAAATCAAGCATCAAAAGTTTGTAAATTAATGCCTCTGATATGTAAAATAATGATAACAGTTTTAGATCTATATTAAAGTTTTGTTTTCTGTCTCAAAGGAGAGTAAGTCCAGCAAGTGCTCGAGTATGTAAAGGGCCAGGCCTACTGGCTCCCAGGGAAGAGGGGGCAGCTGGTATCTCTGCTTAGACACTTACACACTAAGACTGCACTGGGGTTCCAAGACCAGTTCCTGGGAACTGGCTGAGTTCAGTGTCCTTCGAGCCTGTTTTTGTTTCCTGGCTCAACATGAACACAGACTCAAATATGCTAAGTTCCACTTAAAATATGCACCAGAGCACTGTGTGTGTCTCTGTGTGTGTGTGTTGGGGGGGTGATTATGTGTTTGGAGTATGCATGCACACATGTGTGCACATGCATGTGGAAGCCAGAGATCAACCTTGCGTGTTATCTAGTAGGTTCTGGCCAACTTATTTTTTCACAAAAGGTCTCTCATTGGCTGGAGCTTGCCTAGTAGGGTAGGCTGACTAGCCTTTAGGCCACAAGGATACATCAGTCCTCTTTTCTCTAACATTGGGTTTACAAATTAACACCCACACACTGAGCTTTTTCACATGTTCCCTGGAGTTTGAACTCAGCCCTAATGGTCCTGAGATAAGCACTTCAGAGACTGACTAAGCCATCCCTTCAGCCCTAAAACTTTTTTTCTATCAAGTTGGTATGATTAGGCTGCATATGGCCCCTTCCCATCACTCACATTATATTCAAATATTGGCAAATTTAACTCATCATTTTATAATTGAAGACAAGGCTGTGTATAGAGAAGTAAGGCATCAGAATATAATAGATGGTTTATATTGTTCATCCACCAACTGTTGCCAGCCCTCGTATTTTCTCAGAAACCAACATCTGTTCTCATTGGGAGCCACAATAGGTAAATCCTTAAGTTTTATTTTTTCATGGTAACACTTTTTCTTGCTAGAGTCTAATTTAGAAATGAACAGGAGCACAATGCTCGTCAGAGAGGTGTAAAGGATTTCCTGAGCATCTTCGATCACAGGGAACCAGGGGATGCTGCCTCAGAGGTAGGTGTGCCTGGATGTGATACTTTTTTTCCCCAACCATCTAGGTTGCAGTGCCAGGAAGCATAGTAAAGAGAAGGGACTCTTGGAGGAAGAACTAGAGCTGTGGCGCTGAGCTGAGTATATGACAAGACCTCCTATGGTCCAAGATATGCAAATATGCCCTTACTATGGAATCCCATCTAAACACCCAATTCATATTTGTAGTTTAGCACCATTTTCTATAGTAAAGGGAAAATTCACTGAGTATAGTTTTCTGTATTTGGCACTAGAGTGTGTGCAGACAATATTTATACCTGCCAAAGTAACTATTGATCTCAGACTTTGAAATATCCTAAGTTGTTCTTAGTGGAGAAGTAAGAGGAATGCTGATGTTTTGTGCCATATCTCAAGCACCACATCTACAACAAGAAGTGGCATTTTAATCTTTTCTTCGTGCTACTTCAGGATGCCTGCTCAACTGTTAAAACTCGCAGTTTAATTTTCAAGCCACATACCAGCTAAACATACCATTGCGTGGCCCACTTGATTACTCTACATGGAAGTTTCTAGTTGTATATTGATTTTCTCAAAGGATAGGTGTGAATTATTCTTAACATTAATACATTAATATTCTAAAGGGGAGCACAGAAGAGAAAATACGTCCCCAACCATACCTGGTGCTGCCCAAGGAACTGGGTGGAATGCACTTCCATTTTCCTGTGCTTACAGATTTTATCAGCAAATTCCAGACAGCAAAATAAGAAAGTCTGGCAACGTGATCTCTCTTGCATATTGCATGTCTGAACTCTCATGATTCTAAAAGTTTTCAGATTTAAATTACACAGTCAAATAATTGTCACGGTAAAACTGGCTGCAGGTGTCCTCTGTATTACCAGGATCTGACCCTTTGTGATTGTCGAGAAATGTCTGTTTTCAGCATATGCTGAAGAAATCAAGGGAAAAAGCCATTTGTGTGCACTTGCATGGGTGCTCACAGGTGACTTAGGGGCTACACTGAGCACTTGAACATCACAAATTACTCAGGAAATGTAAGATTATCTTGTCTGAGCCTCTGAAGCAAGCTGGGGTGAGGTGTTTTGAGAGATACTTTTTCTGCAAGCCAAAACTCTATCTTGGTCAGGATTCAGATGTGTATCTCACATACACATGATTCAGCTAAACTCTTGCATCAGTGAGCAGGAGGCTGGGAATCATTACTGATATCTATGTAACCTTCAATATGAAATTTCATTTTTCAATGCCTCTGTTTCCTCCTAGCTGTCAAAAAGGAATATATTAATAAGCAGACATCACTCTCCTGTAATCCTCACAATAATCAGATTTAAAAAACTGCTTCAGAACTGCCTACAGTGCTGGCAATAACAACAAATCTTTATGAACCTACAACCACTTCTGTGCCATTAGCCACTGGGTGAGAAGACACAGGAGGATAAGATCCCAGGTCTGACTGGGAAGGGCAGCTTTTCTGCTAAAGGAGGGCTCTCCCTAGAAAACCAACCTGCTCACTGCTAACAGTAATGGGTTCCTTAAGCACAATCCAAGTCACACATTCCAGCAGAGGTGGAGTGGTCAGAGAGCCCGGGTATGTCCAGTAGTCCAAGTTTCCAGGGAGAAGGGATCGAGGATCGAAATTAGTGAAGGCGGCACTCTTCCCCTGCACAGCAAATGCACAGAAGAAAGTCAACCCCAGATCAGTAGGAAGGAGACTGGCATCCACAGCTCTACTCAGCTCTCCCTGGAAGTCTTTTGTACAGAGGTTCCAGGCTTATTGACAAACGAAATAAAGAGCACTAGCACAAGGCATTTCATTTGGAAACAGTGAGAGCATGAAAAATTAATTATGTTTCATCCTGTCATCCAAACCATTCCTTTAAGTTTTCTATTGCCCTTAACTGATCATATCTGGCATTTACTTAAAGCTGTATGGTTACCACTAAAATGGTAAATATAATTAGGTTGCAATATTAAAAGAAATAAAGGATCTTTGCTAATAAGGTGATAATTTTGCTTTGATATTTCACAGTTCCATTAAAGCATCATATTTGGCTCTGAACATAGCACTTTCAAAGCAGTGACTGGGTGGAAATAAGAGGTTTCACACTACGGTTTTCTCTTCTTTAATGTTGTTGCAGAGATGAAGTGATATAATAAGAATAAATGAAAGGAACTAATGATAATTAGCAGTAGGGAGAGGGGATAGGACCATGAGGAAGATGGATCAGTTTTATCACACATGATTCAAGGAGGGCAAGAGAGGTGCAAAGATGTACATTTCATAAATTGGTTGTTGTTTGAAGATGAGCTTTGTGCAGCCAGCCTGCCACAGGGTTGGCCAGTCACTGCAAGTGAATGTTGCACATAAGCAGATGCCCCAAAACCTCAGCACACCAATGCTGCACAGAAGGCTTAAACCCAGAATGGATGAACTCAGTCCTTGGAATATGAATCTCCATGGTTCAGGCTTGTCTACTCCATGCATCTCTGAATCTCCTGGATTAGCATAGAGACCACAACATAGCAAGCCTCCCACAAGCACTGCTGTGTGAATCACTGAATAGTTTGTTCAGATGATCTTTCTGGCTCCTTGATGTCCTCTGGTTCTCACATATGTGCTCTTCTAATAGAACACCATTACAAGCCAAACTAGCAGAATTAGAACCCACTTTTGCAAAAGGAAAAATATTATAAGTATTTGCCTTCACTGAACTGTTCATCCAAATACCAATAATATCATCAAACATCAATAAGACTAGTCATTCTCATCAAAAAAATATTTAAAATCTAGAGTATTGAAAAGAGTTACCTTTGTTTTAATGGACTCCAGTGCATCAAGAACTTTCTGAAGGCCTTTTGTTGCAGGTCCGATCTGCATAAAAGCAGGGGTTTAAAAGATCTCATGAGTCAGTTGGCACTCGCCAGTTTACTTTGAGCAACACTATCACGAAAAATTTCTGAAGAAGGAGGAGGAGGAGGAAAGAAAATGAGGAGGAAGAGGAAAAGAGGAAGAAGAGGAAAAAGAAGGAGAAGAAGAAGAGGAGGAGGAGGAAGAGGAGGAGGAGAAGGAGGAGGAAAAAGAAGAAGAAACTCCTTAGTCATGCCACATGTCATCCATGGCTTGTAACATAGTTGTCACAGAATCTTTAGCCTATCTCTGCTTCTGTAACTCACTCCTCTGAATTACCTTGTCCTAACTCCCCATCACCTTCAGCTGCTAAGCTGCAAGAACTCAAGGGCTGACCTCAGTTGATGCCTTTGAAGGAACTCACATTTTTGCCTACCCCTCCTTATACAAATTCTCTTTTCGCTTTCCCCCACACCCTCTAGCCTTCCTATTTATTGACTCCCTCTAGCCTTCCTATTTATTGACTCCTATGTTTGTTTTCAGTCATTATGAGCATGCTCTCAGGGCTTAAAGGCCTTGCATTAGCAGTTTCTCAGGATTGTGGCCTGAGCAGTTTTATCATCTTTCTCTTTCTGCCATCTTTGCATGAACTTCATGAGCTCCTACACCTTCCTCCTTAGCATGGGCACTACTCATGAACATCCATCCCAGAGTATTCTACACTTCCCTTTCCAGTTTGTTAGGGGCAGCTCAACTCTGAGATCCCACAATTCCTTAAATTTGCCAAAATTGAGTTCCCATCCTAGAACCCCACCACTGCTCCACTAGAACTTGATCTCACTCTCACATTATCTATTCTAAAATAATAGAGTAGTAAGCTTAGCTGAAGGTTTTACTAAAGCAAATCACATCCTACTAGTCACATTCAGTTTACCTCTGTCTTTCCTTTACATTAATATCTAACTGGTTTCTAAGTGACACACTTAAAGTGTCTTTCAGATACCCATATGGAAAGAATGGATCAGTAGAGGGAGAATTAGACCTGAACATACTTTTGTGCCAAAAACATTTCCTCAGAATTGTAGTAGAATGTTCTCCCTGTTATGAATATTCTGTCTGGCCAATCATTCCTAAACACAGAAAAACAAAGAATTGGGTCATTAACCAACCTTCAAAAAGATACCCAAAACAGCCAGTCCATCTGGGTGCTGCACAGCTTTCCCAAAATCTCCATATTTGGTGTTCCAGTGAACCAAGTGAAGCTAAAGGCATGGGAGAATAAACCACAGTAAACGATGCATATAAAAGGCAACAGATTTTATCTCATGACTATTCTTCCCTTTAGAGCTAAAGGTTATTAAAGAGAAAATATGGATAATTCTAAGAAAAAAAAACTTGATTTATTTCTAGTTATACTTGCTAAAATACCTCATCACTTTAAGAACAACTCTAAGACAAGAATATCAAGAAAAGGCACAGGTTTTATTAATGGATTTACAATACAATAAACTCAACCTGTTCTGACAGACTTAAAAGGATGGTGATGAAGCACCTAAGAAACTAATGGGAAGGTCCTTTGCAAAGAGGTGTGTTGGGCTCATAAAACTAAACTTTGGAAATTAATGCTAAACAGGCTTTTCTCTGTAACAAAGAAATGACCTTACCTCCCTAGTATATTTTGTCTTGTTCACAGTGTGCTCGGAGCCATGCCCATCAGATGAGCCCCAGTGAAAGTGAAATTGGATCAATCTGTAGGTGCCACTGAGGGGTCCTCCTTTCAGCACTAAAATTAAAATACAGGCAAGTAATGTCTCTGTAGACACACACACACACACACACACACACACACACACACACACACACGCACACACACACAAAACACACGGGGAGAGAGAAAGAGAGAGAGAGAGAGAGAGAGAGAGAGAGAGAGAGAGAGAGAGAACTTAAATCCTGACGGGTTTAGTACTAACCAAAATGATTTCAACTGTGTTTTATTTTCCTATGTGCTAGCTAATGGATGGATGCCTTGTCCATTTCTGCTGGACACATTGTGATGTCTCCTGAAAGCTCTCAGGTCCGAAAAGAGGAGACTTGATGTACAATTAGTGAAAGGCCTATTGGAATGATCTGGAACCAGGCACCTGTCTTCCCATGGAGCCCAAAGACTGTCCTGCCAGTCCAAACACCAGAATTTGAAAAAAATAAATAAATAAAAATATTATAAAATTTAACTGTGCTTACACTAACTGGGTTTGTCCCTGAAAATCTTAACAAACCCCTGGAACTTCCTAATCTGTAAAATCTGTAATTAGATTATTTATTTCATTAATAATAACCTGTCCTTTGTGCAGTGCAAGCTAAACTACAGAAACTATTCTGGATTCTCTATCCTGGAATTCACTTCGTTTTAGTCAATAAATCATCCTAGAGGTCACATGCCTGGACTCCTCCATTCATACACACATGACAAATGTGTCTTAAAAAAAGATTACAATGGAAGCACACAACCTACAACTTTTACCTCACTTGTGTGTATCTATGCCATTTAAAAAATATAGTTAAATGTTTTCAAAGTGACTCAGTTCCACTATTATTTTTCTGGGATGAAGGCATCTGTTGCTTTAGGTACATTTTATTGGCCTTGGACCATAATTTTATAAAATAATGAACTTAAATCCACAGTGGCTTTGTAAAGCACAGGGACAAAGTCTGTACAATGAATTTCACTTGCTTCATTTCATTTAAATATGTTCGGTTGATAGCAAGACCTATTCATCTATTCAAAGTAAAGGGTGACACTGGCTGACATATTCAGTGTGGCCTTTCCACAGCAACTATGCAATCACTGGCTGGTGACTCTTCCAATAGGCCAAGAGAGAATAAGAAGAAAGAAAAGAGGAAGAATGAATCATGAATGGTGTTATATTACACATGTGTGAAGAAATATGAATCCATATGAATTCATATGTACTATGCTAAGATCATGTCCCTTGAAGCACAGAAGCTACTGTGTCTATATATCTGAGGAGACTGCAAAGAAAGGATCAAGCCCAGGACCCTATACTAGCTTTTTCCAGGAAGGAATGCATAGCCTTTATTCCCCTTTTTATTTTTCTCTCATATATTACACCCTGACTGCAGTTTCTTCCTGCCCCCAGTATCTACCCACAATTTCTCTCTCTCCCAGATCCACCTCCCCTTAAATAATAGCCTTGCCTCCCCGGGACATCAACCAAATATGGCCTAACAAACTACAAAAAGACCAGACATATTCCATCAAAAATACACACTTAACAATGAAATCGGCTTTCTGAAGCAATTTAGTGTGGGGACAGAATTCTGTACAGTGACTCCTCAAAGCTCACAATCAATTGACCATTAACATGCGGCAAATGTCATGCATCCTATCATTAGATAAGCCAAGGAGCAAATCCAATTCAATGAACCTACCATAAGAGTCAGCCGACCTACTTTCCCCCGGGAGAATCAAACAAACATCTCTTACTTTATAGTGAACATATTTTCCCACTATTTCTTATTCCCTCCTTTTCAGACCTTGAAATTGCATCATCTTTCACTTGTCTGAGGAAATATTTTAAATGCAACTGTTTTGAGTGCCTATACACTTTTATTTTAAAAGACTTTGTGAACACTAGAAGACATGATTAAAAGATTAAATATACCCAGTGCTAATCTTTAGCACTATACAGCTGTTTTAGCCTACATTAAAATAAAACTTGTTGCTATGTAGATTAGAAGTCCACTGTAATTAGAAAAGGTTATTAAATCTTTAGAATTAAATTGCTACAGGCAGCAGCAGTTCTGGTTTCAGAAATTGTTTACAATGACTTTATCTTGGATAGACACAGCATGTATTATTTCAACTAAGAAATAAAAATTACAACACTTTGCTTAATATAGCTTACTCTATATTCTGAAATACATTTATTTATTCAAACTGCTATGTACTATTTTTTAAACTGTCTTGGCTTATAAAACTGTCTTGGCTTTTGCTTTTCTTGTGCAAAAATATTTTTCTGTGTAGTAGAAATTACTAGCTGTATGATTATTCTTTGTAAAAATCCAGGTATGGTGGGGGTGTGTCCCACAGGGTTCAAGTTTTCACTGTGCCACATCGACGAGGCAGTATATAAAGAAATGGGGCTTTCTATACTTATTTATTCAAGACTTTGAATTTTTAATTTAAATTTCAACTCAAAACCAGAACTTGTCCCAATTTTAACTTTTATACGTTTATTTTATAAACGTAGTATAATTACCACATAACACTATATAATGAAATACTTCTTATACTGAATACTGAATTATTAACCTTTTATTTTAAAAATGAGATTTTATACTACTGAAATCAATTAGAAACCCATATAAAATAACTGAAAATTTACCATTTTTCATTGTTTTTCTTCCTAGTAACTATTGCTAACTAAGATGTATTTGAACCACAAACTAAAGACCACTGGGGTAAGTAATTGCCCTTAACCCCAAATTACAAGTAAACATCCCCCACTATGTTTTTCCTAAAACTATTTAGTCATTTCCTGCTCAATCAGACAAATGAAAACTTCCCACAGACAAGTCGTCAATGTTACTACCTGAAAATTTTTCTTCACAAATACTCTGAAATTTTTTAATTCATGCTTGCAATTTTTACTACTGATTAGACTAGACATACTTTTCTATTGACAGTACCAAATCATCCTAGGACTATAGTCATGCAAGCATATCTGAGAAGGGTGCTCACATTCCATTTTTTCTAAACAATGAAACATTTAGCTCTCCACTTCATTAGAGTAGCACAGTGAAAAAAATCAAGTGTTTTAGTGTAAACTATATAGGGATTACTGAGGCTTAAGCCTAAGCCTTTTTTAGGAGAGAGTTTCACTTCTCAACATGCTTAGGAAACATTGGTCAGGGCCCTAGGCATTAGATTAGAGATTCTGCTGACCTGACTAACCATGAGCATGGAGAGCCCTTCCTTGGTTGCTTATGATCGCTTGTGGAAGGTAAATTTACAGCTTCAAAATTAAGTCCCTGTAAAGTTAAACAGAACCCAGGTACAAAGCCCCATTATGTTATCCAGACAATGGAAGGCTTCAAAGGCACACAGGGGAACCACTCAGCTTCCCTCTTCAACTAGCATAAACAAATAAACATTGTTTCTGTTTTTAAAAACAGAGATCTAACCGGGATGATTATGCTTTCAATGTTCTTCTGTAACACTGCAATAAAGCAGAGAGTTTTAAACTTATTAACAAGAGTTAATAAGTTAGCAATGGTTAATGCTTTGACTCCTTTTGTGCCAGAAAAAGCTGGCAGGAAAATATCAAGCAGAGGTTATTCCTTCCTAATACTTTTTAAAAGAACTTAAAAGGATTATTAGCAATTTTTCATTAATTTAAGATTACTGGCTTTAAAGGAATTTTGAAAACTTTAGTGTGAGCTTCAGATTAAAATCTATTAATTCCATGTGTTAAAAAAATTACCTCCAAGTAAATAGACAGAAGCCCAGACTCAGCTAGCTCAGTTTCTGACAACTGGTACTCTAGTCTGTGTAAGATAACATTCAGAACATACTGCAAAGCCAGAATTCAAGTTCTAATTCTAGAAGGCCGGGATCTCAGTGTGGGGTTTTGGAGTGGGGGTAAATGATTGCTGCGTTTAAACGTAGAAAATAAATTTAAAATAGCCCAAAGAATCCTTAATGTTTATTTTCGAAATATCAAGTAGCCAAAATGAATTCATTTTAGACTTAAGTGTACAGAAAAATACATCAGCTTTTTAAAACATGTTATGGACAACTAAACATTGACGATGCTCATCATTTGAAGAGTCATATATATATGTAATATATATATCACTAGTTAATGTTTCCAGGAATGTGGTGTAGGGAAGGACAAGCCTCAGCAAATGATTCTCTTTGTTCTACTTTTGAGATTCTGAGAATCGTCAAAAAAGAAAATCCAGAGTATTTTTTTCATGTGGAGTATTACTTTTTAACTTATTCTATAAGTGGGTTTTCCTTTTATATCAACATTTTAATACATTCTCAGTTCTTTTTTAACCAAAGTCACTGAAAGAGATAGAGGACAATAGTAGAGTTACAAAGGAGTCTTTGATGGGCAAGGGAGAGCAATTCCCTCTAATCTTCACTGACCCTTTGTTTTTCCGGAGACCTTTCTGCTATCTAGGGCCCATAGACACATATCCTGTTCTCTCCTTAACCCCCTGGGGTTTCCTAATTCCCTTTGGTGGAGTCTCTTCCAATCACCCCAATCCTTTATTCCTCTGAATGAACCATATTTACTCTGGAAACTCTTTCCTGAGGTGTCACGTGGACGCCTAAGCCTCATTGTAGTCCTACAATTCCTAGATCCACATTATTTTTGCAAGTACCAAAGTGACAGCCTTCCTTTTTCCCAGATATTGACAGACACCCAGCTGAAGACTTGTCTGTGAATCTCTAGCTAACAGACTTCCAAATGCCAGGATTTCCCACCTAGGGAGTAAGTTGAAATCAAAAGAAGTATTAGTAGCTACATATCCTGTTTCCCACCCCTTCCCTACCAGCTGCCTGGGAATTCCTGAGTTTGGTTACAAGATCCTGCTATGAAACCATCCCCCTTACCATATCCTCCAAAAGCTCTGAAACCC